TGTATGTATGTGTATATTGCTAATGTGTATGTCATTATAATTGTATCTATTTAAACTTTGAATTTAACTAGTCAAATATAGAAAATTCAAAGTTGATAATATTGCTATCGAATCAGGAAACATTCCTTTTCTTTTATTCGTTCGGAATAGTTAGATAAGTAGTTTTTGAGAGTTTAGAATAATTTGTGAAAAAAAAATGTTTATATAACGATCTGAAATGTTATTGATTTGAGGAAGAAGGAGAAGGGCACTTCAAGTCACAGTTTGAAGCTGTGAATTCTTCGACAAATTTTTGCCCATGACGTTTCAGAGTAAATAAATATTGAGAATGAAAAAATGAGTAAAGTGCAGGGATGAATGAGTTTCAGTTTTTTGTTCCAACTACTAAAATGCTCTTTAGTTTTGTTTATTTGAAGACGTTTGATTTGGAAGGTTGGATGATTGACAGAGTGAAGAAAAGGAGAAGAGAAGATGGAACAGAGTAATCCCGCCGGACAGTTTTGCAAAATGACAACTATTAGCTTTTAAGAATAGGAAAATTTTTGTTGAGGATTTCCTCCAACACAGTTGAGAATCCATTGGAGACATTTCTTTCTTTCGATCTTTTGTTTAATTGTTGGGTGAATGAAGATTTTGTTTCAAATTTTCATTTCCTCTTCTTTCATATTTTTCATTTCTGCTTCATTATGGAAGTACTTTGAAAATTTTAGATATGAATTTTTTCATTTCTACTTTGTTTCTAATAACAACGAGTGGTAAGTAAGTAGCTATGGCAACAGGGCTGAGGTGATATGCCAACGACTAGAATTGTGGCAGTTTATGGCTTTGGTAGAGAAGGCAGTCATCCTGGCCTCTTCCTCTTTCTGCGGAAGGATACTAGCCTTTGCAGAGGACCAACTACCTTCATTTATGAATTTGCGCATGCACACCGAGCGAACATCAAGGCAGATCTGTCGATTCATACTACTCATGCAGTTGTGACAGTTGTCCACTGTCCCTCTTTCTCTTCCACCTGCCTGTCCACCCTTTCTTTTCACGAGAGATTTTCCGGATAGAATAGAACAGTTGCCGATTTCAGTAACATCTCTCTACAGTTTCTGAAATGGCATGGGTATGCCTTCGAAAGGATTATAATTTGGAGTGTTCGATTTGATGAAAATAAAATTTGAAATAATTGTCCTCTCCCGCTATCATCAGTAGTATGCTGTGGCAAATCGATTGTTTTATTCTCATATGCTCCTCATGTTACGACATTCCAGCTCTTCTTCCTGTTTCTTTTACCGGAGGTGCATTCCCGGTTTCATCTAAATGTTATCTACCTATCTTCATCCATCTATTGGCTTGTCATTCCCGACCTCCTTTGCTTCATATTTCTCTCTCTCCCTCTCTTTATCGATGTACAAATAGCAAATTCCTGATGATAGTTGAATAGTTGTGTTTTTGTTATATGTCTTCCAGTAAGTAGGAAGAGTGCAGTCTCAATTCCACTTCTTCATGCATCCATCCTTCTATCAGCCTTACAGCCCAACACTCTGTCCTTTCAGTAACTGCTCTGAGCTCATTTAATTCAAACAAAAATCGCCGCGGTTTACGTCACAGTAATGGCAAAGCTTCACTGCATTATTCGATAGAAGATGAGTTGGTGTGTTCGATGTTGGTAGTTGTGGGAAGGATGAGGGATGATGGATGGCGAGAAAACCGATTACAGCTGTGTGGGTGGTGGATATATCTCTCTCTATGGTGACAGTAATTTCGCTATTATTCGAACCAGTAATATCTTAGGCTAAATGTGACGAGCAAAGCTGCAACACTGATCATTCGCTCTGCCTTCATGGTTTCGTTTCATCTGTTTTGGCATGGATACGAGAACCCATGCTTTTCATGATCCAACCCAACCGCTTTGCTTTTGTTGTGCAGTTGCGTTGATGCGGAATGGAATGTGAAGTAGTGCTAGAACGGGACGGTAGCTTTCACGAATCTCCTCTCATCCATTCCATTTAGCTGCAGCTCGTGCAGATGTTCGATCATCAGTGACACGTTGGTTCCATCGTCACAAATGAATCTCCTTGTTACTCAGGCTTGGTATACAATTTATCAATCAGGCGATATCTCGGGTATTGTTGCTCGGGGTCAATGCCGATCGGTGCTATACTGCCACCTCCGTGTTCGCGTCTAACACCTGTTACAACGAGATTTATTTCACTCATCACTGATATGGACCAAGACTGGGATCGACATTGTGGTTCTAAAACGGTTAGTACTATTATTCAACTTAATTCAGTAAATCTGAGAAGAGTCAGTATAAATGGAATTCGTTTGCCAACTATTCGAATAACACCTTGAATTTTATTTTGCAAGACAAAGTGCAGTGAGATGTTATCTGGAACTTTTAATGCTATATTTTGTGTGAACCTTCATGATCGAGATTTTTTTGAAAATACCGCAAGTCACTCGGCTGTCCTCATTTCATTAATCTGGTTGTGAAGGAAGAATGGAATGTCTTTTCGTTCGTTGTCCTCAATTCCTCCTCTTTTTCATTTAACCTTGACTAGTACAAATGAGATCGAAGGGACCACATGTTGCATGGCGATTTACTTCTTACCTTATTTATATGATAATAATTTACGTGGAAAGGATGAGTTAACATGATGAGTAAGAACATAACTTCATATTGGCTACTTGACGTATGGTGAAGGCAGGATGCATGCATTCTCCCGAGGACCGAATATATGTTAATGGCGGAATAAGTAGTCATTTGGATTTATCGGGACTCCAATTCACTCTCTGAATAACAGTGGTAGTAACCTTTGACAGTATTCGACATGCTACCATATCCTTTTTCTTTCTTCATCACTTTATTCTCTAGAGAGTTATTTGTTCTCGATGAGTTTTTCCTTCTTTTTATGAATGTTTGTTGGTTAGTTTGCCAGGCTTTCGTCGGAAATTATTATGACCGATAGATAGATCTCTGCTTTACATACAAACCCATTTCTTTCCTCATCAAATATTTCTTTTTTCTGCAGCGCAACATTGTGGCATTGGATTGCAAGATTCACTGACGAAAATCCACCAAGTAAGCTTCAATTTCCAGAAGCTTCATCACATGTCACACGATACCTCAGTAGTTTTGTTCCTTTTTGTGCCGTAATTCTCAAAATTCCCTCCTATTCCAACGAAAGTTTATTAATTTCAACCTATCTCACGCGAATAAATTTGGGAGACGTTCGATGTGATATAAAAACGAAATTCAAAGTTTGAGAGATTTTCATGTTTGTCTAGACCGAGCCTATTTTGTTGCGTCACACTTCTTTGTTTCATTATTCTAGGCCTGAGCAAGCTAGTCATATATTTCGTCTGCCTGTTGTTAGTGATAGTGACAGTGTATGGGAACAGAAATGGGAAGCTGTATACGAAAAAAAGAAAATGCCAGAGCCAAGACGGGTGGTTGCTTAATTCGGATGGGTAAATCTCACATTCTCATACCTTTCATTCTTTGAGCATTTTTGATATGATATTAATGATGGAAACAATTGAAAAAGTTGTTCCGTTAAAGATATACCAGATATTTTAGAGAAGTTTCGGTTTTTTTAAATTTAGAAATGAACTTTGGAGCTACTGTTTGCTTGTTTCGTATTCTATTGCATGCACAGTTCGCCAGTTGAGGACAAAAGCCTCAGCTCGATTTCTTCGTGTACATGAAACTCTGCGATCTATTGTTTACTGTCCAGTGTCAGGTGTGGGTATGGGTGCGTGGATGTGATGTGCATATGTGTGTATGTATGTGTGTGTATGTATGTGTATGTGTGTGTGTGTGTGTCCTTGCGTGACTCATTCCCTTTTCATATAAATGTAATCTTCAATCCTAAAAGTGAGCGAAAAGAAGTGTTTCAAAGGTGGAGAAGGCCACAGTCCATCTTAGTTGCTTCACTTTTCTCAAAGGACTGTTCCAAAATAATCTTTGAAGACGATTATAGGATGGTGAGACGGCTTTGCATTGTGCAGCAGCTCGTGGTCATATGGACTGTGTCCAGTCATTGTTGGATGCTGGAGCACCAGTAGATTCAATTGACCAGGTTAGTGTTAATTTCTGACTTCATCCTAATA